AATTCTTCAGTAGTGGTCATACCTACGAGGGCTGTCATTAATTATGGAAAGACATAATATACTCACTTTGCAATGTAGCATGGCTTCATCCGGATTATGGACCAAGATGTAATGCAATATAGACCTAGAGCGAACCAACGGTTTGTACAAATTTTCCAGTAATATCAACTCATAAAGGCCGGAGCAAAACATTAATTACGGACAACAAATTCAAATAGAATATTTTTTCGTGTGTGTGGTGACTCTCCAGAAAATTCCCATTTAATGACTTGGCATCACTGAGGCGACCTGGAAAGTAATTACACGCGGTTATGAATTCAAAAGAGCGAAATACGTCACGTGACGTCGAGAGGATGAGATAGAGGTGTAAAACGGCCTCTGGAGAGAATACTGCTAAATGAGAAGAAAATCCGTTTCCATCGATTTTGACACTATTCTTCCTACATTAGAAATATGTCTTTAAATCGGTGACTCGATCAAGCAAGCAATAGCTATCTGACATGTTTATGGGCGTATCTTTTTTTATTTCAATCTTGGGAATTGATATGAATGCTGAGATTTCTCGTTTAGCTGACAGAGGAATTATCTAACAACAGTGAGGCGAAGTTGATTTGCGAGGGGTTTTTCAAATAATAAGAATCAAAGAAATAATAGCACAGCTACTCCGAATTTCTACTACAGTTGATTAAATCTCCTTTCCGACTTGCCAGAATGAACTATAGATGATGAATGAAAAAGATGACGATCGACTGAGCATCACAGAAAGAATGATTTATCAGAAGCGCAGGCGTGTGTGTATTATTTCACATTGCAGTATCCAATTATCGACTGTCTATACAGTATACACAATTATAATGTTAGGCTGATTTTTCAACAATAAAAACGCTTGCTAATAATCTCCATCAATATAATATTTTATATAATTTGGTAAAAAGAGATTAATTATTATTGACCTACCCAATCCATGTAAAAATAAAAATTAGCAGGGTCTATTAAAAAATGTTTTGATTTAAGAACACATAGTTTTACTATAATACGGTATTATATAGCTGTTCCATGATTATAAATATAATATGTTTGTAAATTCTCAGAGCTATAATTAGCTTACCTGGTGGAGAAGCTATCTTCTGGCAACTAGCTCAATCAGCCCCAATAATCACGTGGTTGGCGGTGTTACGGAGACACAGCACCGTCAAACGGTGCTGGGGTGTCCCTCTCAGTAACACCAGGGGACAGTGAAATTACACAGTTCCCGGTAACACGTTGTAAACAGCTAGGAGATGGTATTACATGCCCACAGTCTCTGTTCAGGGTGCTCCTGTTTCGTCTTATATGGACTGCCACTCAATCCCAGGCTCAAAATGTTCTTATTTTGTGCTTATTTTACACCGTACAGTACAACAGCTTCTTGTGGCCGAAAGAAATGAAGATTGTTTGAGGGGAAAATTATAAATTTCAGCATAAGCGTAGCTGACTATTTGTCTCGTTCCCTGATGGAACTTTTCATCTGATGACATTCATGAAATAGATATAATGTTGATAATCAGAATCAGAATCAAGTTTATTTGTCCTCACGGAAATGACATTGGTCGTTCAATTCTCAAAATATACAGTTAAATGAAGTTGTGACATTCAGACATATAATAAAAAGATAACCTACTTATATACATATTAAATTACAGAGTATACGTTTAAAGTTAATGATGATTGTCGTTTTAAACTTTTCAAACTTTAGGGAGTTTTCGCAAGCTTATGAAAACGATAACGATTACGTCGGTTACGTCATCAAATTTTTAGACAACCCTTCCCCTATCTACAGTATATCTGTCACAGCGTAGACGATTCATGTATTTTGCATGAATCAAAGATCGTATTCAGCCCTTACAGCATATTGTCAAGAATGTTGAGGCACGAATTATGATAATGACAATGACGTGTTCGTATTCGTTCTCTTTTTCGTATTTATTTATTAATACTTTACTATAGGCCTATGTGACTAGCTTTTTATTTTTTAAAGATTTTCTGTTCACAAAAACCTCATTTGATATTATTTTACCTTAGCCTCAATTGGTTCTTTTATTGTTCTTATTTTTAAAGCTTT